AGCGCTTGTAATGAAAGAAGTTTTAAGTGCTGTGCAAGCCATGGCCAGGCCAAGGGGTGAACGGGCTAAGGGGCTGTCAAAAATAATAGAGCAGCGAAAAAATAATAAACTCATAAATACCATGACAAGCTCGTGTATAAAACTTGAGTCAATGCCAGCGACGCTGATGAATAAGAAGGCGGACGACCAGAATGCGACTAAAGCACAGTGAGCCAACCATTGGCCAAAACAGCTTTAAAAATCTTAAAATCATGTAAATACATAAATTAAGGAAATATTTGTATTGAAGGAGTTAAAATACAAATATATATACAAATATATATATATATATATATATATATATATATATATATATATATATATATATATATATATATATATACCCACAAATAGATTTGTGAAGTAAATAATTTGTGAAGTAAATTAAGCAAACTCAGTCTACTCCAGGAAATTATTTAAGTCAGTGAATTATATCATTCATGAAACGATCCGACGCAAACTGATTAGGTAGTAGAAAAATAGTAGAGCTAATGAAGAACTTATTGTATTGGATTTAATAAGTAATGAATGAAGAGAAGAATCGTAATTATATATCGCTACATGATTGCTGTTATTGTTTCTATGCTGAAAATCAATAAATACAACTGTTACTTTTATAATTAAATTATGAATATAGCGTTGCTCAAAATCACATATCTTTTAATAAACCATTTATAAATTACGAGTTACAAATTGTTCATTGTTGTCATAAAATTATTGATAATTACTACTGAATATATATGTTATGACTAGCGTAATAACTTAAAAGTAATCTGGTACTTGTAACGCTAGGGCAAGTTTATAAATAAATAAAATAAATACTGAAATATGCTTTTGACTGTTGCTTGTATGATGATAGGGCGTATAGTTCTTTGCAATAAATTTAGGCTATAAATAACTTTTTGAACATTTTCCAGTGCTATTCAAAATACCAAAATATTGCTGTTTTTGGCTGTATGTCAACTAAATCGGCCCACTGTGCGGCGGGGACAAATTGCGCCAACAGCTGTGGCTGCGTTTTGGCAACTGATGCTGACAGTAACAGATGAAAGATTCATTCAGTTTCCAGTACAACAGTGGAAACATTAAAGCCAGCCGAAAAGTATGCAACAGCGCCAGAGCGGAAATGAAATATTAACGTGGCTACTATTTAGACGCGTGCGCTGCCAACTCGTTTCGAATTTCAAGCAATGCTTTAATTAACGCTGACATTTGCAAATTTTTGCCTTTCGGACGCAGGCATTGTTTCAGCCACTTTTTGTCAGTTGCTTTGGCCAACGTCAAACTTTTTAAGCAATGAGTTTCGTAGCACAACATTGTATTAACAATATAAATGCAGAAACCGACAATTGTTACGAGGAAGACAAACCGAAATCAGTTGGACGAAGCTGTAGTAGTTTGTGGTCATTTTGTTTTAACATTTGCGTCTCTTATTTTTAGTGGGCCCGGAATTGTCTTTTGTTGCCGTTTCAACAATTGTCTGAGAGAGTAGAGTCAAAGTTTGTAGTTTTGGTACGTGTTGCTTTTGGCCTGAAAAGTTTTTTAATGAAGGCACTAAAGTGCAGTCGGCTTTGAGTTGAGCTTCAGCTGCGGCATTTCAATTAACTGCCCATAAAGTTTGGCAACATTTATCAAAAATGTTATAAAATTGGCATGTAAATTGGAACAAAGGTCGGACAAGTCAATTATTTACAAAGCAAAATGTCTACAAAACTATCAAACTGCATGCAGTTAAAAATAAAATAAAATATTGATTAACTATTCAAATTTTGTGAGCAATGAAAACAGTTTTTAATTAAAATAAAAACACAAATGGAATACAGAATATTATTGCTGTTGATAAATAATTAATTACATTGTGTTTGCTTAAACTAAAATAATTCAAATAATAATAGAGCGATTATTTCCATCATCATATTACTATTGTCCTTTACTGAGCACTTAAACAAAACTGTTGTCCTAAATGCCGAACAAAGTATAGAAAAATTAAAATGAATATAATGTCGCACGAAGTATGAGTAGCTATGTATGTAATCGTATTCAAAATTATTCATTTATTACTTTTATCGCAATAAGTTCTTTCTTCACTCACTTCTAACAATAATAAGATAAATTGCGCCAAATCCTGTAACAATTATATTCTTTACAATTGCAAATAGTTAAATCAATTGTTGTAGCATCTGCACCATATTTTCGGTTGATTAAAAACTTTAAAACTTCTGCAAAAATATATACAAATTTATTCAGTTTAGATCGTTATACTAATACCCAACCACTGGGCTTCAGAAACGCCCAAAATACAATTTTCGCATACATCAATTCACTAAATGGTGCACAGAAACCCAAACCCAGACACAAATCTTTGCAACAGAACTAAGAAAAGTCTGAACTAAAACTTTACAACCACTTCAGGCAGAGCAACTCGTGGCACTTGCCTTAAACTTTTATTCGGAATCAAGCCAAGCAGCAATGTTTTTTACAACTTTGCCAGATGCCCAAGGACACAAAGATTTCTTTTTCCAAGTATTTACCACTCATATGCATAAAATGTGCAACAGACGAAGAAAACGACGCATTGCTAAGAATGTTCACAGAAAATTTTATTGACTCGCAAAGCGACAATGCAAACATATAGACAGACAGAGAAACAAAAAGGCAGATAGACAAACACTTAGCGCTACCCGACAAATTGTAACTTGTCTGCTTTTTCCCTTCACCCATTTGCATATCGGGTAGAAATATACTATATATAGAAGATTAGAAGAAAAAAATTGTAATAAAAGCACAGAAGGGTGCATTTATTCTCAACGTTTTTGCTTTATTTTTGAGTTATATTGCAATAATTTTTGTCAAAGTATTGTATCTTTGTGAATAATGCGCAATATGATTTAAAATTCAACTCAATTCGCCAGCAAAGAAAACGCTTAACAAAATTCTTTACAATGACAGCATATGCCTGTTTTATATTTTCATATTTCACAAGAATTATTATGTTGTGGCAAGACAAATCAATAAGGAGGGGACAACACAATTTGATAACAGGTCCAAGAAATGAAAACAAAAGGCAAAGATAACAACAAATAAGTGCCACGACCCAACAACAGTAGCAGCAAAGGTATCTCAGATACACCCACACGAACAAAAACATATTTGTTTCATTTGGTTTTCCACTTGTATTTTTGGAACAACAAGCATTTACTTTATTTCAAAACAATCCTATGCAAATAAAATGCCCCGCACAAAAGGAAACCGAACATATATACGAGTATGTAGGTATATGTATCCGTAGAGATGTATATTTATGTTATAGCTCTATCTTCCATAAAACTAGGAATGCATTGTCGTTGTGTTTATTCAAAATTCTAGCGTGAATAATATATTTTGTATTCATTAAAATGCATAAACTATTCAGTTGGTGTTGATGGAGAAGTGTTGATTCAAGATAAATATTGCAAGGTTAAAATAACAACAGAAAAATATGCTTCAATAAAATATGTATTATGCAGAATTGGCCTTCGGGTAGTCACAATCTATATGACCCTGTACTTTAGTTTAAGGCTGCATAAGTCTGATGCTATATCTCTGTGTTATCTCTCTGAATAGCCCGACATTCATCAATAAAAAAAAATCACCCCCTCAACATACTTTACATTAAAATAGATGCAATTGAAACGAAATATTTCAGCAAACAATTAAAAGAGGAAATATTTCAGCGAAGCAATTTCCCTTCTCTAAACCAATATTATATTTTTGGGAACAGTAAAAATATGGAGTAATATTCCTGGACCCACGAGCAAAAGCTGAAATCCTAATTCAAGACATATTCTTTGCAATCAAATGGTCGAAAGGAGGAGGCCTTTTTGTTGATGTGGAAAAATGTTTAGTTAGTTTGGAAGAGACAATATCTCGTTTGACTAAGCGCTGTTGTTGTTAAGAGACTTTGAGTCATCTGAACAGGGTATAGGAAATCGTTATAGTGTATACATTTTTTATTTAAACACAATGAACGACAACAATTTAAACCTAAAACTTTCTAATGAACTAAATCGCAAATAGGTGCGAATTTTCATTTCTATATCTCTGTAAATATTTTTGCTTCAACTTTTTTAACCCCTCAATCGAATTTGTTAAGCATCTATGCCTCTTATCCCCTAAAGTTACTTTGTAGTGTATAACATACATTCTACTTGATGAGTGCTTGAATATTGTTGAATTAATGGCAACAAAATAAATAATAAAGCAGAGAGCAGAGCGCAGCAAAGACAAGACAGGCAGACAGATAGACAGGCAAATATACAAAATAAATAGCATAGAGTTCAAAAGTGATAAGCAAAACAAGTGGCAAGTGGACGGCGACTAAATCGAATCGAAATGAAACGAAATCAAATCAAAATAAATACTCTGTGTGTATTGTGAGTGTGTCTGTGTGTGTGTGTGTTGGGAAAGCCTTTGAAATATGGCCTGCAAAATCGGGTTGAATAGCAGAGGTTGAGGATGGAGATGTGGGGTGTTTGCTCTTTTGTCAGTGCTAATATTATCATATGAGCGGACAAAATTCAGTCGAATTGGCGTGCGGCGATATGGGAGTGTGTGTGTGTGTCTGTGTGTGTGTCTGTGTGTGTGTCTGTGTGTGTGTGTGATATACGCGCGGCGATTTTCATTCATGTCCATTTCGAAGCCAAGTAGATGTACATTGCAGTTCATTCAGCAGCTGTTGTTGTTGTTGTTGTTGATGTTGTTGTAAAACGATGCCCAAAGATGTAGAAAATTGACAACTACAGCATATAGTGCGTTATCTGGCACGACTCGGTCGAGCGCCGAGCACCGAGCACCGAGCGCTGGCATCGTCACAGAGCCGAAGCCACGGCTGAAGTCGAAGCCTCGAATTCCATTCACGGCAGTCGCAGCATCGCATCATTCGTGTTTGGCGCTTCGTTCGGAACGGACGGGTTTTTTTAGGGGCTAACAAAGGCAGCTGTGAAATCGAGTGAGTGTCGCGTTTTAACCGGAAGTAAGGATATTTTTGTTGCTATTGCTTGGCCTCTTCTTCATCCTGTTGCGCCGTCGCATTGTTAGTCAGTTAAGCCGTTAACAAAAAGCAGTCAGAAAACAAAAACAAACAAAAAACGTGTTTGCCCATTTTAAAAATGGCCGCCTCTTTCCATCGCTTTATCTCCATGTGCTGGTGTGTGTGTGTGTGCCTGTGCCTGGGACTGTGTGGGTGCGCGTGTTTAACGTGCCGGAAGTGGCCAGCGAGCTGCTCATTAATGCATTCAAATGCGTAAAAACGTGGCTTAAACGCTTTACCCAACTCTCCGCATTTAGCGTAATTACGTAAGCGGTTTTCAAAAGCGGCACAATTCAAAAACAAAACAAAATCATTCAAAATTGCAGAAGAAGTGGAAAGTCTTTACAAAATATGTATATAAAAAAAACATACAAATATTTAATTAATATAAAATTCATGTAAATTTAAAAGGAAAACTTCCACGTTAACTATTATTTTGAACACATTTTGTTTAAAAATTCAATGCACGCGCTTTGAATCTTTTCGAGCATTGCTGATAACATCGGTCATAAGTTCAATATGAAAATAACAGAAATATATACGCACGTATATACATTTTCTAATAAATACAATGTTTTATAAACACACACATATGTACAATCGATTCTATATATAATAATATTATCATTATGTGGCAGTTCAAAATTGATAAAGTTGTGCTGAGACGCCCGCCAGTGAGAGTGTGAGAGCAAAGATTAACTTTTGAAAAACAAATAGAAATAAAATCTGCATTGCAATCAATTCAGAAAAACGTGTTAAAACAAACACTTGAAGAGTATCTCTCTCTGTGTGTGTGTGTGTGTGTGTGTGTGTGTGTGTGTAAGCATATGAAAATATAACAAATTTGCATTCACTTTGATGTGAAAATAAATAATAAGCCCGGGCCGGGCATTTACTCGTACATATGTAATTCCATTGTGACAAGTGGAGAAACAGCAAAAGCCAATTTAAAATTGTTAATTTTGTATTCCTTGGCACAATCGTTTGTTTATGTAAAATTGATTGAACGCCGCGAGAACTGTTGACAAATTTAATTGTTTTGAATAACAAGCAAGCCAGACAGCTAAGTGATTATTTTATTATCTGAACAATAAAGTCTTCTTTTTTAATCAATTGCACTTGCACTTTAAAAGGAAAAGTTACTTTTAACATACTTATAAGATAAAGCTAGGAAACTAAAGTACTTTCTTAAGCTACTTGAGTTAATATTTATATTTTCTGAATTATTAAGCAGGTAGACAAGCATTTTCTAGCTCCACCAATGGACTTTGTGTTTCAAAAGCGTTTAATTACTGCTATGCTTGCTTTATTAAAGGGTTTAGCCATGCTAGCTCTTGATTTACCCAATGTCAACGCTTTCAAGCCGAATATGCTCAGAATAAGCCCAGTGCTTCCCCAAACTCATGCTCCTTCACTTTTATCATTTTCTTGCTTTTTTCAACTTAAGCCCTGCTCTTCCCTTATCAATTGCCATCACTTTCCCACCCTAGGCCTGTTGCTTTCTCATACTGGCTTTTCCTTGGCCTGTCTTTCTTAAGCTCTTTCCTTGCCTATTTCTGTACTTCTCCAATCTTTTTCTAAGCTTGTTCTATAGGCTTGTGCTCTTACTTGGCAAAACTCTAACTAGAGTTGGTCTTTTCATAAAAAAATTACATTTAAATTGATTATTTAAATAGTTTTTGTTAATTTTAACGACTCCTTTAAGCATTTGTGAAAGGGCATCTGACAAATAAGGATTTTGTAAAAGCATCAGGATAAAGACCTCATTGCGATTGTAATATCAAAAGCTGCAAAATGTTGTCATTGACTTTTCATTTTATTTTTATGCGCTTTTCTTTGCACTCAGACGTAAACATGCTGTGCAAAGAATCAGAAAGCAATTCAATAGTAAAGCCTTTGGACAAGGTTTTGTTTAATTTTTTTTTTATAAGTATGTATATATATATTTATAACAAGAAACTGGTTTGGTTGGAAAATGTTTTCGTAATTTTATTAGAAATTTGCTTGCCGCCTTTGAATCACTTTTCTCTCTCGCTCTCTCGCCTTGTATGTCTCTTTCTGCGTGCAGTTGTTGGTCAACAAAACGCAATGCTATTTTAGGCTGCTCGCGTAGCGCCACTTAACCCCAAGTCAACGCAAAAAGGAAGTGCCCCGGGTGTGTGGCGGCTGCTGCTTCTATCTTTTTGTTTTTTTGTGCGAACATACTTTGCTTGACATTTGACATAATTTGCTGTCGTCACAGGGCAGGGGGTGAAGAGGTAGACGACACAGGGCCGCCTTCAAGCTGTCTGCCAAGCGCATCAATCTACTTAAGTAAAGGCACACACCTTGAAGGCAAGTGGCAGCGAAGAGAAAAAGAGAGCAGACCTCTAAGATAAAGCGATGGGATTTAGTTGTGAATTCGCCGAAGATTCTTCGAAGGTGCCGAAACTAGCAGGTGTTGATTTATGACACTGTCGGGAGAGGGTAGCTGGGCACGGCGTATTAAACTTAATGACTTAGGTATATTAAAGAAGCATAAAGCGGTCAGCGAATACTAAAAACCGAAAGTTACTTTTTGAAATATTCAAATCAAATCGATCGATAGAAATTTAAAAGCGAAATGTTTGACACATATGCAGGCTTTTAATTTTAAATGCTCCCAATATAAATAGTTCATTCGTCCAAGAAAGCGATAACTTTGCTTATTCTTCAGAAACATTGTGAACATTGGAAAGTAATAAATACATACTTTTTTAAAGGTTGCAATAAGCTTTTTTTTTCCTTTTATAGTCTTCCTGTCATGTTGACATCCGCAAGGTTTTTATTTTTCTTTCTAATCTTCATCCTCAATTCCCCCAAGATTATATAAATATAAAAGTTTCAGCTCTTCGTGTCGACAGATAAGTAGGGCGATAACACTTTTCTAATGTCATTAAATCAGTTGTTGAAATTTTCTATAGAGTACCGATGTCGCTTTTAAGGCTAAGCTGGACACGTAACGAAGTTCTTAGCTTTGCCTGATATTTTTCGCACAACGTAAAAGTATATATACAGAGGGACGTTCAATGAGTTGCTCATATCATAACTTTTAAATATCTAGATTATAACATTCCTCCAATATTTTTGACACTTCCCTAACGTCTGCGAATATGAATGAATGAATACTTGAATATAAAACTTTTAAAAATAGGGCACTGCGAAACTTTAATTTATAATCCAAATAATGTGTAAAGATGAACTGGTTGATGATCTGTGATGATTATAGAACGTTAAAGTGATTTGCACTTCATCGCACACTGCAAAACATTCTTTCAATATCTGAAAAGTGAAAATTTAATTATTAATTTGAAACAAAGCGAGGTTACTTAACTGAACAACCCTACCAAAAGCTTAACAATAACTTTAAAGGACACCGCAAGACACAGAGGTGAAGAGGAGTGAGCAACACGTGAATATTTCAATTAGAGTCATTAAAAGTCTACAAACTTTACTTTCCAGCACTCAAACACACACACACTCTTGTAACGTAATCCTGTAGCAGAACTGTAAAAACTAAGCTTAAGCAGATGCGACAGACAACACAACAGAATAGTTAAGGCCCAGGAAAGGCACTCACTTGGATTTGGTCATAATTTTTTTAATTACAAAGCCATAAAAATTAAACGAACCGAAAGTGCTGCAACAAGGAAGCGGACGACTGCCACTAAAAACTAAGTAGTCGAACGACAGCAGCAGTAACAGAAGCACAAACAGTACCAGCAGTAAGGACAACAACAACAACAATAACGTTTTAAGCCACATAAAACCGACAAACAAGCAAGCAAAAGCAAACAGACAAACTGGCAAAACGCCGCTGAGAGTTAAGACCATAGAGAAGAAAGCCAAAAAATGGATGTGTAGAAAAAAGGAGAACGAGTAGAAAAAGGAGGTGTGCGAGCCCGACAGCCAAATATCCTCACAGTTCTTTTAAAACTTACCAATTCTGAAATGAAATTTGATGTTTGCACTGATTTTCATTTTATGGCAGCTATATGATGATATGAAGTGCACCGATTTTAAGAACTAACATTTGTTTGACAAAAAAGATTTTTTTTGCCTAAAAGCAGTTTTTTTTAAATCTATTGGTCCTATGGTAGCTATATGAAATAGGACCATAAGTATATGATTTGTAATAACTTGTTCTGTGTATGGATAGAAGAGGCCCACATTTCAAGTTTTGTGTGCCTAGCTGATATGGCTCGAAAGGCTAAGGAGGTTCAAACAGACAAACGAGCAGATGGACAATATTTAATATTTAAACAAGAAATTATATTAAAAATTAAAAGAAGCAATTTCTTGTCAAGTTTTTAAAATTAAAGCATTTATTCAAGACAATTATACACGAGTATGTGTATAACTACAACATGAGTTCTGTCATATAAAGTTGTACCCTTGCTTGGCATACTCCTTTACTATTTGGTTACAGAGTATATAAAAAACAAAAAAAAAAAAAACGAATAAAAGGAAGCGAACTATTTACAGCTAAATGCTTGGGCAACACCTTGGGCTGCATTGGCATGCTTCGCTGCACTGTGCCCAGTTGCCTAGATCCGCAAAATGGACCAGGATATTTTTTACATTTAAAAAAAAATTTGCATAATTTTTGTTGAAGTGTAGCTGTATGTTTGTGTGTGTGTGTGGGGGGAATGTTGGGGTGTAGTTGTTACTTCTTCCGCAAATGTGTGAAAAAGCTAACACAAAAATCTAAGTGAGCATTGCAAAATTATGCAAATGTTTGCTCAAGGGAGTGTTGAGGGGGTATGGCAGGAACGAAAGAAAGCAAGTACAACATGGCGTATGCGTATTGATTCGAGCATACGACGGTGACAGGTGGTTGGAGAAATAGTTCGAAATTGGTTCATAGTTAAGTGGAATGCACATCTTCTATTGTTGAAATG